CAAATAAAATGATACATAGAATTAATTTTTCCATTGTAAAACATTAAATATTGAAAAACTAAGAGAACTGTGGGTTTTAAAGAGTTTGGAATTACTTCAAATGCTCATCAAATATACTAATAAATAAAAATGAAAACATGTTATGTATGTGTTGCTTATGATACCAAAATTAAAGATTCTGTAAGTGTAACTATCACTACATTAATACTTGGTCACATTTTTGAACAGAAATAATGACTATACAGTCAAAGATAGTATGGCTAATGGAAGAACAGGAATCACCAAAATGAAGCAGAACAGAAACTCTGCAGGTCTTGCAGTGGAGTAGACAGCCTCTGTCCCAGGACACATGCTACAGGAGAACAAAACAAACATTGTATTTAAGGAAGAAAGAGGAACTATTACTAGAACTTCTCAGTGAAAGCTGATGTTTGAGTTCAGTAGCATACAAGGTTTTAATACAAAATGGAAAATAACAAACTGAATATGTTTGGGAAATGGGAGAAAACACAACGTGGATTTATCGGAATTGGATTGTGCCCAGCTCACCTGAGTCCATTTTTCCATAAGCAGCCTGATTTTCTCAGCAAAATATTTAGACTTAGTCCATACAGAACCCAGCAAACCATTTGATTACCCTACAAAAGAAACTATTAGTTAAGAAGAAAATCCTGGTAATTCTGTACAAGAGATGTCAGATTGGAATGTACACCTTGCAAAGAACATGATGAGAAAATATTCAGTTGTAAAGGTTACTAAGTATCTGTGATCAGCCATCAGACCGATTTATTTAATATCACCAACAATGTAGCCACAGAAATTAGAAAGTGGATAATAAAATTAAGGACTCAAAGTTGAAAAATGCACATAAGAGAAAATCAGCCCCAAACTGAAAGGCAGAAAATGTCTAAAAATCTATGAATTGCCATGCAGAAGTCACTTCCCTCCTTTGATTATTCAGTCAGTGGGTAAGTTTCCATGTCTTGCACTTTAAATGCGGAGGTGAGGTGAATACCAAAAACAGAGACTATCAAATGAATCTGGAAAAGAGGCAGAGTCAAGGTATTTCTGTCTAAGAGAGTTCTAACATCAACATTAAAGGGCTGGAATGAGAGCCTCTCTGGAACTGTATACACCCTTCAACACCATCTATTTTTCTGTTTTGTCAGTCTTGAGAAAGTTGGACTCAAGCTGGGAGAGAGGCTGATGATCTATCACCTGGCATTCCACTGGTGACAGGTACTGCCTAGCACCAATAGAGTGCCTCAAAGTTCTCCTAGATTAGTTTAGAGAGAAGAGGAATGAGAGCATGGAGATGAGGATATCAAGTAACAGAAGAATTAGAAACAAAATGATCAGAAATTAATTTTATGTAAGAATAGGAAACAATTAGGTATCCCAGGAGCAAGACATTCAGGTAAACCTTGACAAAGTTTACAGTAAATTTCACTGGAGAAAGAAGTAGGAAAAAAAATAATAATCAGGGAATCCTCTGCCACCAAACAATCCTGGGAAGGACTGCAACATGATACACAATCAGTTTATGGCTTCCTTATGACTTACACAGCATGGCACCAGACTAGACTTAACCTTCCCTCCTAGCTTTCTGCCTAATATTATAAACAGATGCTTCCCCTTTTGAAAACATTTGCAACAAGGGAATAATTGACCTTACAAGAATAAAACATATTTACATCTACCCTGTCCAGGTATGTCCTAAAATAGCCCAGACTCAAGAAAACAGAATTTCAATCAGCAGAACGAGAGCTAGAGTCCATTCAATTCCGGTAAAAAGACTGATTTACATTATATTCTCTAAACAGACAGAGAATCAGGATTTCATTGCATCATTTCATTTTGCAGGAGTAATTCCCTTGTAAGCAGAATCAAACAATTTTTCAACATGTAGAACAATAATATCTTGTATATAAATTCAAAGACACCAGTGGTGACAAACTTCAGTGTAATTTGAAATTTAAAGGAAGTGCTATTATACTGCACTTCCTCAGTTTGTAAATCTGTCCACCACTTCTTGCAAAACACCACCTGCATCAGAAAATTTGACCACTTTCCTGTCAAATACCCCACCCCCTCTCAGATGATGGTATCCAAAAAAAGACCATGAAACTCAAATACAATGGGAAGAGAAAGAGCTAGTCAATAAAAACGGCAAGAGTTTACAACACCCTTAGGGATAAGAAATGAAATTTGCATTTAAAGTATGAGTAGGAAACACACAGTGTGTCAACAGATAATTTTTGCAGCAACCATGGGACATGGAAGACACAGTCCATTGTCACTTTGAATAACTGATGAGCCCACTGTGTCTCACTATCCATGTCCTTAGTTTACTCCTTTTCCACTGCCAAGCAGTGCCTATCTGACCACACAGAGAACTCCCTCAGTAGAGGTCTCCGCTGCTTGCCCTTCTGCAGAGGAACAATTCTCTTTCACATTTGCTACCGTTTGTTCAGATAAAGACCTGTTGGGAATTTTCAGTGTTCAGACTGTAATCTTTTCCACATTATTCTACAAATTTGAATGACTCCAGAATGTTACAGGTTATCTGTTCATGGTTTTGTGTTAAGGGAATATAACATTTCATGTATCTGCAGTTATACCCTAATCACCTCATTATCCAATTAAGAAACTTCCCTGTTAGTATTCAAGAACACAGTGGTCCATTGCAAACTCTTCAGTAACATTTTTTTCTATTCCTCATCATACTTTCTATACTCTACAGGCACAACAAAACTGAAATATAAATCAATTCTGTTCGTTATTTTTAATATACACCACCATTTTCCATCCTTTCCAAAGAACCCAAGTATTAATATCCTGCCACGCCAAACACAATTTTGGAACACAGATATCAGATGTGTGTGTACTGCCACAAAATCACTAATTACTCATGAGCACACATGAAGAAAATGCAAACAAAATTAAAATTCCTCTTTATTTTCCACCAGAAAGCTTTACAAATATTTACTTCTGGATGAATTGTAGTGAACGCTTTTATTAATAGAAGTAGGTATCACAGGAAAAACTCCCCAGAATATAACTCAGTTCCTATTTTATAATGTTGGTCCACTATGTCAGAGGCAAACGTTGGTGATACGGCAGCAGAGGTTGAACATTCCCACCAGTGTCTCATTGCACGTTGTTGCCACGTGACAGGAGGCAGCATAGGGGCACTCTGACAAAATGGCGCCTGAGATGGAAGTGTGGATGAAGCAGAGACGGGTTGCTGAGTCTCTCAGTGCAGAAAGAAAACGGCACCTACTGACATTCATTGATGCTTGCTGAGCAGTGAGGCGGTGGGTGGCGCATTTCAGGAGCGGCAGCTGTGGGTCACTTCTGCTGGTGCAGATTGTTACAAGAGCAGTGTGCAGGCTCTTGTTCACAGCTGATGAAAACGCACAGCTCATAGTGGTGAGTGTTGAAAAACTGATTTGTAGCTGAGAATTTGCTCTACTAGTGTCATTTTGTACTCTTCATTGTAGTGTCCACAGAAATAAATAGGAAGCATAGCCTTCAGAGCAACTTATGCATATTGAAAATAAATACTGAGGTATCAGCTATCTAGCTTATTAATGGAATCTACACTGCATGTCACAGGAGGGAATTATGAAAGAATATCTTATTTCCAAAGATAAATATAAAAACTTCAAGTACTGACACAGCTGCCAAATGAGCTGGGCTGTATTGTTGAAGCCACTCATCCCCTTTTCTCACCACAATTGAGATGTTACCAGTTTCTAGTGGGAAGGACAAAAAAAAAAAAAAAAAAAAAAAAATTTTGGATCCAACAGGTGACATTTTTTGTAAAAAATGTGCAAAGCACATTAGCGCTTTAACTGCTTTGACATCCTCCAATACTGTAATACTAAATAAAATGTGTTGTTGTTCATATTACACATGCTAGAGCCCTACAGGAAGAAAAAACCCTGCATAGAGAAAATGGGTAATCCACAGCACAGGAAAAAAAAAACGTCCTCAAAGAAATCAGGAAATTTCACTTCATGATGGCCAAAGATTGTATCCAGTATTGAAGAATGCATCCAACAGGGACAAGAATATCCTAACATACTCCCAAGTTTCTTGTACCCCTTTTGATAGCAAAGTACTGTAAAGAAGTTGTACTGAAATGAAGAGCAACACATCAGTTGTATGCCTCATCTTTATATCTCAGATGATGTTAATGGCATGGGTAGGGGAATATGCTTGTGAGTCTTATGTTCCTATTTGTTAGGTGTCCAAAGAACAACACAGGAACAGGGTATTGTAAGTGCAAAATTTTGTTATTATCACTGTATTTTCTCAAGCTGCACAGAAAACACACAACACAGACCTGAGTAGCATTTTTAACAGTGATAAAGGCTTCCGTATAATTTGCTGAGAAACCTTGTAACAATAACAAAAAAAAAAACAACCCCCCCCCCTCCAAAAAAAAAAGGCCAATTTGTCCCTCAGACACAGGTATGAAATGATGTGGGGCAGAGGGATTCATGCACACACTTATTCTATATTATTACTAAAGGATGCATTCTGTCTCTATTAGGCTGTGTACAGCTCCACTAAGGTTAGTTATGTAGATCCTGGCTCTGCACTTCAAAAACACAAGAACAGCTCCTTCGATTACTGTCAGTTTAGGCATACAATGATCTTATGAGCAAGTGATATCTTTGATAGCAGCATATTTCTGAAGACAGTATTTTTGCAAGCAATCCTATGGCAGGATGCTAGCTAGCCCATGATACTGTTACTTTCTTTCCCTGTGAGGCTTTCTTTTTCTTTATTACATTAAGTTACTGCTGCAGACATATTCTCACTTTGTGTCCTTCACCAAAGGAACTGGAGGCAAAAGTCTCATTGATTTAAGACCTGAGGGTGAACTAGTAATCCCAGTGCTTCAGGAACTCATTTGGAAGGGAGACTATAAGGTCTTTAAGGCAAAAAGATAAAGGAACACCAAACACACTGAGTTCACACAGATTGTATCGACTCCAGAAGGCCCCTTCATGTCCTTTATTTTCTCTTTTGATTTTACACTCCACAATAAAAACAGCCAACTATCCCAAAGAATCCAGGCCTATTCTAAGTCCAAAGGCATTTTCAGGTGAATTGATGTTGTAAAGTCTCTAGGTCCTTATACCCATCAGAATTCCCACAAGGTAAGTTAACGTGATGCCATTTTCACTTACTAGGGTCACTTTCCAAGGCAAAGGCAATGCCTGGCTGATTCACAAAGCTTCTTGGCAATCTTTTCCAGCTTTTTTTTCAAAGGGGCATCACCAAATATTCAAAAATGTTTGCCAGTAATAGTGCATGGAACAAAATGGAGATGTGAGGAACTGTCTAAAAGAATAAGCAACTATAAAACTGTTATTTATAAAATTCAATACCAAGTACCACTTGACTCTTTACAGTTCCCTGCACGTATGAACAGATCATTTGTAGAATACCCCACAAAGACAGCAGGTCCTCTCATCCCAAATGATGACACCTGTGACAAAAAATTTCCTATCTGGTGAAGCCCACTGAATCTGCCTGCTCAGTTATGCAGAAGCCACAGCTAGAAATAAATTTTCTGAATGCTTTTCTCTGGTCCCTCAAACAGTCTGGATGTTAGCCCTGGATAATGCCTAAAAGCTTTTGGAAACATTAGCCCTGTGCTCTGCACATCATGTGTATTTATAGTGCACAATTAATAACATCATAGCAGATACATAGTAATGTGAGTAACAGCTGACAGACCAGTAGCAGCAGGTTACGTGAGCAAGGGGAGCACTCTCTGAGACTGCTCTTGGCTACAGGACCTTTAAGAACAATGTGGCAGTGCCAGCTCTCTATCTCAATGCCATCCTGTGCTCCCATTTTTTCACCCACCTTGCACCTTTGGCTGCCTGATCTCTTGGTAGCTGAAGAAGTTCCACTCAAACAGATGCAGCAAGAACTGAAAGAGACTCAGAGCGACACACAGAAACAAAGCAATGCTTATGCATTTCTCAGGCAGATGATGAAAGGTCTCAGTACTAAAAAAGCCATCTCACACTCCCTGCAAGCTTCGGCACCCTTACTGAACTTCAGGCTCCCCTGGATGCTTTACCCTTCCATTATCAGTAGAGAAGGGTTGCTTTTCTCACAGGAGTGCCTATTCACAATCGAAACTGTTTTATTCTGCTTCTCTTGTATAGATCTATCTGGGCTTGAGTACTCATGTGTGGCCAAAGCCACACATTGCTCACAGAATGCACCACAGACCCTTTCTCCCCCACACTGCCTATGCAAGGCTACAGCTGTGTCAAGGCACAGTACCTCCATGCAGACATTCCTGGCTCCCAAGGCACAGAGGTCACTATATGAAGGGTGGCTATCTCCATGCCCCTCCTAAAACAGGCAGGGATCCTGTGAGGATGCTAAGGAAGGGAGAGACCTCTTCAGTCCAAGATCCTCTTCTGGAGATAACACCAAATGTTCAGACTCAAGCACATCTTAACTTACTTGAAACATTAAAAAAAAGTATTTACCATAATTTCTGCTCTAGAAGTCCAAATGGTTAGATGTAGAAAGGGATGGATAATGCAGGGGACACTCTTCTCCCTTCAAGTGAATCTATACCTCCCATAGACAAATAAGAAAGACCATCATCCACTAGCATAAACTAAGTTATATCTGATTGTGTACTGCTGTGGAACTGGGGTCTTGCTGTGTGCTGCTTCACTCAGCTCATGAAATATTTCTGTAATGGTAACAGACCATTTGTGAAAATGAAGTTCAGACTAGAGTACAGCAGATCATGCAATGGTGAGCACTCAACTGAAGGCAATTTGTCATGCAGAAGTTCTGCAAAGAGAACTGTGTTTTCAGAGTACCGCTTAAACTAAGCCATCTTCTCGAGGACCCCAGTCAACCCGCTTGTACTTAATACATTTTTCTTGTTGGAAGCAGCATATGTTTGCAAGGACATGGCTGTAGCAGCCAATGCCACATCCAAAGCAGAATGAGAAAACAGAGCCTTTTCCACCCTGCCCCTGAGGCCAGGACGAGGGAGGGCTGTAGGAAGGTAAATAAAAGGAAGTGCTCTCTTTGCATTTATCTACACATTAGAAATACAATTTCCAGGTGTACTCCATTTACATGAAATTAAATTTTGCCCTTTTTTAATAAGTCTCTGCAACATTTGCCCATTTGGATGGCCTGGATGATCATTAGTTACATGCCAGTGCGAGATAATCCACTCCAAAGTCATTAATGCAGTGGTGTGATTTGGCTCCAGTGGAATCACAACACAACTGGATATGACTCAAGTAGGGCTCCATCTGCAAACAACACATAAAGAAACACGTTATGGCATTTCAGCAGCATGGAACAGCAAACAGTGCTTCATTCCAAGAATCATTCCATAAGTGAAAGTGACCAACAACTAACTTACACTACTGTCAGTTTAATTCAAGATTTCACTTCCAAGGAATGAAAGCACACCCTGCTCCTTAATTGTTTTTGGATGAAGAATCTCGCTGAAGCTTGCATTTCCACAAGATATTAAGAGCACAGAACACGCTGTTAATGTGAAATACAAAAAAAGTAAATATGATACAGAATCACTAGAACTCAGTTGTAAATTTTAATAGTAATAGTGCCGCAGACAAAATCACATTTGCTTTTTAAGGATCCATCCTTTTTTTCATTCACCAAGATATAACTGGATGTTCAAAAGGTTACACGTGCAGAACAAAACCACCAATTCTCCTTCTTAAAATATAAGGGCAAGCTTGTAATACACACGACTTTGGCATACCATTTCGTGCAATTACTAACTACAATCTCTGATTTCAGAATGCAGAAGTAGCGATTTTCCTCCTCAAAAAGCAGCGCCCGCTTCGTTGAAGCCAACTTCTGCTGCGGGAGGGCGGAAACACGCAGGCGAGCACGCGGCGAAGGGACACCGAACTCAACAAACGCTCTTTTGGCAACAGCCATCCCTCGGCGCGTGTTCCGGCACGCCTCGCGGTGCTGCCCAGCGCGGAGGGCCCAGCAACACCCCCTCCCCGCGGCGGGGCGCGGGATCGGCGCGTGCGGGAACAAAGCCGGCGCAAGCTGCTGCCCGGCACAGCCGCTCCCACCGGGGCTGCCCCGACCGCCGCCCACGCGCAGGGGCTGGCAGCGGAGCCGCGCGCCTCCGCCCGCGGGAGGAAGGCCAGGAAGAGGGGGAAGCTCAGCCCACGGCACGCACCGCGCCGCCACTCACCGCGCCGATCCGAGCCGGTGTGCGGGCACGCCAGAGCGGCCGCAGGTGCCGCGGAGGAGGAAGCGGGGGCGGGCGGCGCTGGCGAGCCAACCGGGGCCCGGCGCGGCGCCGTGAGTCACCACGGCCGCGCAGGGCGGCCGGGCAGCTGGTATAAGAGCGCCGCGGGGACACCCTCCCCCCGTGCATGTCTCCGGCGCCCTCCTTTCCTCGTCGCCTTTCTGACCGCGGCGTCTGCACGCCCGCCCTCCCCGCCTCTCCTCCCTCCCTCCCTCTCTCCGTCCCCTCGGCGCGGCGATGCGGTCGAGCCGGCAGCGTGGAGATCGGAGCGCGGTGGCCGGCGGCGGGTGTGGGGCGCGGCGGTGGGCGCTCTCGCGCTGCGGTGCGCTCTGCCTGCTGCTCGCCCTCGGCTGCCTGCTGACTGCCACCGACGGTGAGTGCGGAGCTGGGGCGCGCACCGCCGGGGTGCTCCCGCCGCTCCCCGCGATCGCTTCTTCCCTTTCACCTCTCTCGGTTGTTTTCGTGTTTTTTTTTTTTTTTTTTTTTGTGTGTGTGTGCGCCTTGTCTGGCTGGGGTGTGCTTTTTCTTTTGTGCGGGGGGGATTGGGGCTCCGCGGAGAGGAGGGGAAGCGCGCGGGGCCTCCGGGCTCTGCCTGCCATCACCACTCTCCGCCGCGAGGCACCGCTTCCACGGGCGGACAGAGCACGCATGGGGCGCTGCGGGTGGGCCCGAGCCCGCGGCCGGCTCGCCCCTCCCCGCCCCGGAGCGGCTCTGCCGGCAGCGCCGCGGTGCCGCCGCTGCTGCGGGAGGTTTGGCGATGCCTGGCGGTGAGGGAGGGTCTCCGCGCTGGGCTGCGAGGAGCCCAGCTCCGGGACGGCCCACCGTGCCGGAGGGGTTGTCAAACTACTCTGCAACTTCGGCTTGGTGGCATCCAGCGGCGCTGGCGTGGCTCCTTCGGGCCAGCTGTAACCACCATGGGGGATCTCCACCTGGCGGCGAGGTTGAGCCTTACCTCACTGAAGCCCTCGCGAAGCGGGCCGTCACAGGTAGCTCAGAAGGTGGTTGTTGCCGGTGTCGATGTGGTTACCTCTGCAGCAATGGAACTTGAACGTTAAGCTAGTTGCATGGTCAATTAAAATCATTTTCCCTTTGACTGGAGGGGTAATCAGTGAACGGACTTCTCTCTTTCTCCGGGAGACGAGCTGCTCTCCTAGGGGGGTGGTGGGCAGTTGCTGTGTGTTGTTGTACCGCATTTGAGCTGATGGCCTGGGAGCAGTGTGCTGTAATCTCCTGACCAGCGCTCTGAAGTGCACTGAAGTGTTTGGCTTTGGTTGTGTTCTCAACACATGCTTATAGAGAGTTAGGCTTTGTAGCCCCAGCAGTGTGCTGCAGTTTAGACATGGGGTTTGCTGGGTAGGACCCTGCCAGGAGACTGCCTCCTAGTTCTCCTACCGTAACTGAGAAAGAAGTCTGTGTTCAGACCATGCCTCCATTTCCTGATCTGTAGACTGCTTCCATGCCTTCTCTACAGTAGACACAGGCCCTTTGGTTATGCAGCTGTAACACGAAGGTTGGAGCTTGCTGGCACTGAGACCACTGGTGCGTGGTAGTTAGAAATCTTATGAGGAGCCAGGCATTGCAGGCAGCTCTAGTTGTCTGAGTTTCTTCATTCAGTTTGAGGTGGTGGCCTCCCAAAGCAGCTCTGCTTGTTCCTCTGTGTGTGGGTTTCCCAATCAGGATTGCAAGCTTTTCTGGTAGTTGGTGTCATATGACAGCACACAACTGTCACATGTCTGGCTGGCCTCAGAGAAGTAAACTGACAGTCTGCTTAAGGAGTGGAGACAAATGGTTAAGGCAGAGCTAAGAGAAAAAGCTTTGGATGCGTTAACTTAGTTGGAAATGGTAACTGATCCTTCATCCTGCTTTTAAGTTCGTTCCTCAGAAGTGGGTAACCTGGGAAACAGTACAGTGATATTTCTGACACTTAGCCTACAAGTAACTTGTAGTTACTTCTCTTCTACCTCTTCCACCCAACACTTATTCTAAAGAGGATGAAAGGTTCTGATGTATGACCAGCACATGCAGAACAGCTTTTGAATTAATGGTTGTTTGATATCAAGCTGAAAATCACTAGATGGCTAGCGACAGAAGCAGCAGCTGAGCTATGAGGCTGTTTCAAAGAATGGTGGATTAGAGTGGTAGCGTCTTGCTGAAATGTCTGCCTGGCATTGCAGAACTGTGCTTAGTGCAGGATAGGACTGAAGGTGGTGATCAGCTGGAACTTGCTGAGTGTGGCCTTCAGAGCTTGAGAGCTATCTTAAAGGAGTAGCAACAGATGATAACCTTGGTGGGTGAGTGTTTGGCTAGCAATTCCTTATTTGTTCACAGGCTGACAAAAGTAGTTGCTTTGGTAGGTCAGCTGTAAGAGAAATGGCACCTCTTTGGGATGACTCCTTGCAGTGATTGTAAAGTTACAGCTTTAACTCCCAGCTCAGCTCCTGTTCCATTTAGCTTTGTGGAGTGTTTCCCTGTTGTTTTTTTGGTCAAAGTGGTGTTACACTGCAAGTTACAATATACTGTGCAAGCCTTTACAAAGTTATTCTAGCTTGAAATAGCATAACTAAAGGCTGTGGGAGTTATTTTGGGATCTCCTGAGTGGCAGGCTTAGTCTAATAGTGCTCTGGCGTGCTATTTTGGGAATGGTTGGCTGTTCCCACTCTGAAAGCCTGGATAAGAACGTCTCAAAACTAGCAGGAGTCAGTCACTTTGTGTTTTAGCTAGTAATACAGAAATAACTAGAATGCTGTGTGACCAGGCGAGCAGATGTCTACTTCTGTTAGCAGCAATTGGACAGTAGGGTGATGCCAACTGATAGCAAGCTGATAGCTGTGGCCTCTGTACACGCTCAGCTGGCTGAAGTCTCCCCTCTGGCACTACTAGGCAAGCTGCTTGTATGACAGCTGTTGACCAAGCAGTGTTAATGTTGAAAACCTTGCGTTGGAAACTGCCTGCTGGTACAACTCCCACCCTGGAAAGGAGTGATGGAAGTAAAGAGTGTATGTGCTGATGTTCAGTTGTCCTGGCACTCCTTAAACAATTCCCACAAAACAAAATGTTACAGCTTGACACTGTCAGTGTTTTACTCAACCAGTAAAACTGCTGAAACATCAGAGCTCAATAAGCTGCTATTTCAAATCGTTTACTTACAGCATGAATTTACATTATACAGTTGGCAAGTAAAACTGCCCTTGTTCTCTTGCTTATGCTCTGTCCAGTGGTTGCTGTTTTCTAATGCTTGAGAGCTAGCAGTATAATGTGAAATGGATCTGTTTCAGAAAGTTTATTGGCTTCCCTTCATTTGGAAACTGCCTTGCATATTGCATGTCATACACCAAAGATATAAAATAGCAAGTGGAGTTCTGCTAAAATTAGATGCCCTATCAAAGCTGTGGAAGGCCGAAACGGAGCACCATTATTACAGTAGATCAAGGAGGAGCAGGAGTTTTGCATCATGCCATAGACATGTGCAGCCAAAACTTATGCATGTACTCACAGACTTGCATTACGTGGAACAGCTCTGGCTTCTCTGCTAAAGAGGCATGCTGCTGCTTTTACTGACAGTTGTGGCAGGACTTCAAGACAAAGCATATTCCCTTGAGGGACAGGGACATACCATTTCAGGATGGAAGATATTCTGGAGAGTTCACTTCAAGCATCTTGCACAACAAGAGTACCTGACTTAAGCATATTAATAATCAGGCTTAACAGTTTGGAGACAAGAGACTTAATTCCTGAAAGAAGTGATAAATTGTCTTGCTCTCTTAGCATTATGCTAGACCTAGCTTTAATAATGAGGAAAAAATACAGATATGTCATTGCACTTCCTTTTGCATCTACCAAGGAATGCCTCTGTGGGCCCTTGCTCATGGGGACTCTGTTAACAGTCAGATAGTGGGAACTATCTCTGTCCATTATTGTAATTTCTGTAACTTTGGGGCTATTACTGAAGTAACTTACATGATGAAAAAATGTTGTTCAGTTATAGAGCTGATATCTAAGCCACCTTTACAAACATCTTGGGATTGTAGTACATTAGCTTCAGAGTACTGGAATGCCAGTCCGGTTTGAAATTTAGTCATGTTTAAAAGTAGCTTGATCAAAGTCTGTGGAGGTTTTTAGAATGCAGAGACAGGCTGTAGGCAGCAGGAGCCTGCTCATGAGCATCCCTTTGCCTTGCAAACTTGACCCTGTCTTAAAAATGAAAGCTCAATATTGTGAACACTGAGACTGATTTACTACCATCTGGCAGGTAAACTGTTACACTGCCTAATCTCTGCAGTTCTACAGTGAAGGAAAACTTCTGGTTCTATTGTCGTGATTCACAAAGGTGACAACAATAAAATAATTCAGAACTTGGCATCGGCATGAAAACATCTGTTTATTGAGTATGGGATGCAACAAAGGAAATAGTGCTAAGTAGCACAGGGGCTCAGGTTCTTTTCTTTTCATTAAAGGTGCAAAAACAAAATGTGAGGAATCCCAGTTCCCCTGTAGTAATGGACGCTGTATTCCTTTACTCTGGAAATGTGATGGTGATGAAGACTGTTCAGATGGCAGTGATGAAAGTGCTTGTGGTAAGTAGTCAAGCAGCAGTAATCCCTTTGTGGCTGTACTCAGTAGTTTGCAGTAGGGGTTAACAGCAGAAGGTGGGTAAGTGGAGAGATGTTTATTCTGACCAGCATTTCTTACAGCTCTAATACAGGGTAGAGGAAGAATTGCATAGAAAATCTGGGGGACTATCTGGGTGTCCTGTATCAGTATGATGCAGCTGAATTTTCCTAGTCCCTGGAAGTCTTCTGGAATTGAGACAAAGGCTCATGACTGAAACTTTATTTGCTGGGGGTGGCAATTGTCTAGAATGCAACACTGTTTTTCAGTTTTTGCTTGAAAACACAGTAGAAGCTTGTTGCCGTTTGTATGCAGCTGATGGCTATTGCAAGGTTAGATGTCCTGTTATGTGTGAAAGTGGTTCTACTGCATTTCTTGTAAACACTGATTCTAGCTCTGGCTGCCAGCCTGATGGTTTTTGTTGACATGAAGGCCAGGGCAGATGACTAGACATACTTAGAGACAAGGCAGAACAGACTTCATATCCAGCACTGGTGTGGCTGGACTGCTGGTCTGCTTGAGTTATGCAGTTGGGTTACATAGTACCAGGCTTCTGTAATGACACCACAAATCAAATGCCTTGATAATGAGCATGAAGTTCAAAATCTGAAAATAGCTGTTAACAGACCTTAATTTAACTCATGTGTAAATGAAATCATGGCTTTTCTACCTACCTAGCTACTCTTCTTTAACATTAGCAGTCCTTCAGTATCTGTTTTTGGGAGTATAAGTGTTTCTGTGTGTTGTATAACTCTTTGGGAAGTATCAAATAGTGGTGGTGTTAGGCTGGTGGGGAGAAAGGAGAGAGAGGGGAGAGGGGGGAAAAAAACAAAAACAAAAAAAAAACCAAACCACCAGACATCCAAGAACTAAAGGTTGTTGCACTGGTTTCCTGGGGGTGAGGTAGCTAGTCTCTAGCTACCAACAGAAAAACTGAGATCTGGTATTAAAAAAGTGCCTGTCCTTTTCCCTTTCAGTGAAGAAGACTTGTGCTGAATCTGACTTTGTGTGTAACAGTGGTCAGTGTGTGCCAAACAGATGGCAGTGTGATGGGGATCCAGACTGTGAGGATGGGTCTGACGAGAGTGCTGAACTGTGCCGTAAGTGTGCCTTGCCCATCAGTGCAGGCAAGCCAGCAGGTTGTGCCCATTTGACTTCTTGCTTGCTTGTCACCTGACTTGCCTTTTTTTTTTTTTTTTTTTAAAAAAAAAAAAAAAAAGGTTTCACTTGTCTTGGAAATGCACCTCTATAAGGACTAGCTTGGCTTTTGGCCACATCAAGGTCTTGACAAGACTTACTGCTGATTAAAAGGATTCAGAACTGGGAAGTCTGCACTTGTACTTGGCTAAAGATAGCAAATACAGGATTTCTGTTACAACTAGAGAAGTTAAGCACAGCATTGCAGGCCTGTGTCTTGTTCAGAGTGATCACCATCCTCCAAGACAGCTACTTAACCAGGGCTAGCCATAGGAACTAAGTGACTGACTTTGAGCTGGGGGTACAGAAGCAGAAGTACTAATCTCTGACTATGAGATTAGCAGCCTCAGTCCTAAGTACAGTCCTAATCAAGGGATACAGGTCTGTGGGACCTGTGAAGCCTCATTCCTTATCAGTAGGACCTATGCTAAGGTGCAATCACTGTATTTCAGCCCTGAGTTTAACTTTACTTTGTATTTACTCTTGTCTACTACTGTGTATTACCTAGTCTCCTACAAATTTAACAGTTTGTGATATTCAATCACAAAAGCTACTGTGACAGAGATACTTTTAAAAGATGCTTCCTGTTCCTTTTTTTTTTTTTATGCTGAATACTATAGACTAATATAACCTCTTCCATGTTAGAGCCAATGATTTCATTGGATGCTGGCTGTGTTCAGAGCAGCAACCTTTCAGACTCAACTTTCAGGACAACTGCTAAAATCCAAGATCAATAGCTCTTAAATTTCAGAACTCTTAAATTGAACTTAAACTTTTTTCAATAGATATGAGAACATGCCGGGTAAATGAAATCAGCTGTGGTCCTCAGTCAACCCAATGTATCCCAGTGTCCTGGAAATGTGATGGTGAAAAAGACTGTGACAGTGGAGAAGATGAAGAGAATTGTGGTAAGGGATGAAATGGTGGCTGCATAACTCTATTTGAAATTGACTTGTCTGAAAAGGAGCTAGCTGGACAGTATACCTGGGAAGATAAATTTATTATATCACTATTTTCTTAAACCTATATGTATTGCAGCCCACTTAAAAAAAACAGATCTTTTCTAACAGTCCTCTACACTTTGAAATTAAGAAATACAACAGCGTAAGCTATTCAGCATCTGTCTTTTTCTCTGGCTAGTTTTGGGAATAGCTGTAGGCTTAGTTACATGTCAGATAAACCATCAGAATTTGTTCTTTTTACGGTTTCTTAACAGATAACTCTACTTGCTCCTTATATTAAGTTTGTCTCCTAAAGATGTAGCTGGGATTTGTGGCCAAGGAAGCAGCTAATTTACTACATAGCCCTGTTTTACAGTATTTTGCATGCTTATTTGAAAGTGTAGATTAGGGAAGCTGGGTTTCAAGCGTTAAGGGGCAACTTCAAGCCAGTCCACAAGTGAAGCCAAAGCTGCCTCTTAGGGTGCAGTGTTTGTGGCTTGTTCTAATGTTTTTGCTGTAAATGAGTTGCCTGAGGTGTCCTGAGGTGAGACAGATTTGCTGTAAGCAGAGTTACAGGGCTTGCTTCTACCACAGCTACCTTGCCTGGATGGCTTAATGAGGTACAGATCTTTGGACTTGTACTCTGCATCTGTGGGGTAGCTGTCTTTTTCAGCAAGCAAATGATTTAATCTGACAAGTATATCTACAGACAGCATTTCTAATGAAGTTGATAGAACTATCAGCCTAGGCATACTGAGCTGCTAGCTACGTTACTATAAAACCAGTATTATCTGTACCAACAGAAGTTCTGTGACTGCTTAATGTCACAGGACCAACTTTTGCAAGATCTTCATCAGCTTATCTTCAGTGGCCCAGGTAAATGAGCCACTACTATCCTGGCACAAAACACTTCAATTTCAAACTACAGTGCATGCTGACCATCTGGCTACCAATACCTTAGACTGTATTCCAGAGTTAGCAATTCTCTTACCTTCTGTCTCTGGTTCACAGGTTCTGAGCCTGTTTTCCTAAAGGCTAGCATGCTAAAGCAGAACAAACTCACTGCTTCAAAATTTTCACTCAGTAACTCAGAACTGATGTTTCTCACTTTCATGCTTAAGGCAAGGACAGCAGTTCATATGTCGTATGTGCCTTGTAGGTGGTCAGTAAGATTATCCCAGAGCCTTCTTTGTACAGGATATTGACCTACTGTCAGCTGATAGAGCAAAGAAACTGAAAAGCAAAACATGTTCTTTCAAAAGTCTTCTTTATGATAACCTGCTAATATTTTTCACTCCTGTTACTGCAGGCAACGTGACTTGTAGTGCAGCAGAGTTCACATGCAGTAGTGGACAGTGTATTTCCAAGAGCTTTGTCTGCAATGGTCAAGATGACTGCAGTGATGGTAGTGATGAGTTGGAGTGTGCACCTCCAACATGTGGTGTTCATGAGTTCCAGTGCAAGAGCTCAACTTGCATCCCTATCAGCTGGGTGTGTGATGATGATGCTGACTGCTCTGACCACTCTGATGAGTCTTTGGAGCAATGTGGCCGACAGCCTGCACCTCCTGTGAAGTGCTCTACCAGTGAGGTGCAGTGTGGCTCGGGTGAATGTATCCACAAGAAGTGGCGCTGTGATGGAGATCCTGACTGCAAAGATGGAAGTGATGAAATCAACTGCCGTAAGTTAACTTGGTCCTTCTTCTATAGGAGGTGCTCCTTGGCCCCTGTCTTTCCTTTGGCAGACTTCAGGAGTCAAACTGTCTAATGGCTGTCCCCACAGCTTCTCGGACCTGCAGACCAGACCAGTTCAGGTGTGAAGATGGGAACTGCATCCATGGGAGTAGGCAGTGCAATGGTGTGAGAGACTGTCTGGATGGCACTGATGAAGCAAACTGTAACAATGGTAAGTGTGCAGCTAATCAAGACCGAAGACTTGCAGAGTTGCTGAATCTCGCAGCCTCCTCATAGTCTTCATTATCTCAGTTATTCAGTGTTCTGGACCTGGCAAATTCAAGTGCAGAAGCGGAGAATGCATAGATATTAATAAAGTGTGTAACCGTCAGGGAGACTGCAAGGACTGGAGTGATGAGCCTCTCAAGGAATGTAGTAAGTGAACAAACTTCTTGTGCAGTGCTAACTACTAAATGATTTCTCAGCCGTCAAATGTTGGGCTGAAATACTTATGTGTATTTACTTAGTAGCAAAAATAAACAAGAGTAACTCAGTTAATAGAACTGTTCTTTATCATAGCCAAACTGACTATTGGGATGACTTTGTGACCTGGAGATACATGAGTCCATTAAACTCTGAAGGTTACAGGATCCTCAGTCTTATTCTGCTGATGCCTACTTATAACACAAGCAGCATGTTGATAGCTGAGCATATGTGGTCTTGAGGTGGTCTTCTTCAAATGACTTCAAGTACCACTGTGATCTTTCTCCTTGTGAGAAAGCAGATGAGTGTCTGGTACAGCACTCCATAACTAAGATTTCAGGACTACATATATATGCTGTTTAAGAAATGACCAATTCTTCTCTTCTAGACATAAATGAATGTTTAGTCAACAATGGTGGATGCTCTCACATCTGCAGAGATCTTGTTATTGGCTATGAATGTGACTGTCCAGCTGGGTTTGAGCTTGTAGACAGGAGAACCTGTGGAGGCAAGTATCAAATAAGTTAATAGTAAACCTACTAGTAATACTGTAGATGAGAACAAAATTTATTTCTCTTTACAGATATTGATGAATGCCAGAATCCTGGTATCTGTAGCCAAATCTGTATCAACCTGAAAGGGGGTTACAAGTGTGAATGTAGCCGTGGCTATCAGATGGATCTTGCTACAGGAGTGTGCAAGGCTGTGGGTAGGTACTGGCATAAGACAATATCTCTGAGCCTGAAGCCACTGCTTTGAAGTGAGGCAGTAGGTGATGTAAATTTTCATGGTACTGTAGTTGTGACACTAGTTGTGCTCTTAACAACGTAACTTGTACAGACCTGGACAGTCCTAGCATTTTGAATAATGCTATGACACAGCACTTAAAGCAAACATGTCTACCTGACAAACTTTCTCCTGGGGAGGAGAGCGTCCATCATAAAGGAAGAAAAGAATGGGGTATGGTACAGCTAAGATGTTTTTCAGCATCCGTTTCCAAGTGTGGACTGGCAGATACTAAATACAATTCATTAAAACTGTCTTGAAGGCCATTGGTATGTGACTTGATGTCTAGAAGCATCGATAATATATACTTTTTTTCTACAGGGAAAGAACCATGTCTAATTTTCACCAACCGACGGGATATCAGGAAGATTGGCCTTGAGAGAAAAGAATACATTCAACTAGTAGAGCAGCTAAGAAACACAGTTGCTCTAGATGCTGATATTGCTGAGCAAAAGCTTTTTTGGGCTGACTTCAGCCAAAAAGCAATTTTCAGGTAAATGGACTTGGCCTCTAACTCTTAGTGCTACCCTTAGCATCCTACATTTTACCCAAGATTCTCCTGTAGGCTCTTGTGCTGAGAACTAGATAACTGATGTCCATGACTAAGCAGAGCAGGTACAACCTCCTGGAGCTAGCATGTGTACACTTGTTGCACTTCCTTGTATCAGGTTCAGTTGTGAGTTTTTCTAAGGTATCTGTTTTACAAGTACATCTTCTAGAATGCACACAGCTCCTGGGCATGCAGCATTTTGCTGAAGCTGTAGTCTGTGGGGCAAAGAGGAGTAAAAGCAAGTAATTTTTGTTTTCCAGTGCTTCTATTGATACCCGTGATAAAGTTGGTACACACACTAGAATCCTAGACAACATATACAGCCCTGCAGGAATTGCTGTTGACTGGATTTATAAGAATATCTACTGGACTGATTCATCTGCAAAGACCATTTCAGTGGCAAGCCTGAATGGCAAGAAAAGAAAGGTTTTATTTCTTTCTGAGCTGAGAGAGCCAGCTTCTATTGCTGTGGATCCTCTGTCTGGGTGAGTATTTGTCCTCGTTCTCTGGAAAGAACAAATCTACCATCTAATCCACGTGTGTTTTGATAGCTGATTTACACAGCCTTTGTCTAGCTACTCGTTAGCAAATGTCATAATTTAAAAGTGATACTACACAGTACTATAGTGTGTTATGTAACATAAATTCTGCTTCACAGCTTTATGTACTGGTCAGACTGGGGTGAACCAGCAAAAATTGAAAAAGCCGGAATGAATGGATTTGACAGACAGCAGCTTGTGACAACAGAAATCCAGTGGCCTAATGGAATTGCTCTAGGTATGTTGAGTTTGTCTCTGTGCCAGAGGTAGTGTGGAGCTTTAGCAGTCTCTTGGGTACAGAAGCCAAGGTCATCCTTTAGAGAACTATTTTCAGCTTTTGATATTGGGAAGCTCTTGCATGCCTAGAGACACTACAAACAGGTGCAGCACTTCAGATGCTGAAGTGGTAACCTTCCCTGCACTGTTCTGTATCCTAGCTGAGGCACAGTGTGCTTAGGCAGCACTGCAGCAGTTTTTTGTATTCCCATATAATAAGAAACAGTATGGTAGCACTGCAACTATTCTTGAGTCTGTGGGTGTTGCAGCCTTCGCAGGAAGCTCTGGCAGTCTTGTCCATGTAGCCAATAAGTAGTGGTGTTTGGTATTTCTTTTCTCCTCCTAGATCTTGTAAAAAGCCGTCTGTATTGGCTTGATTCTAAGCTACATATGCTGTCAAGTGTGGATCTGAATGGCCAGGATCGTAGACTTGTGCTGAAGTCTCATATGTTCCTTCCTCATCCTCTTGCTCTAACAATATTTGAGGTAAGAATGGCTTGCTGCAGTACTTGTCAGAGCTCTTATTCCTAGTATGTGGCTAGCAATTATGGTGCTGAAAGAAACATAGAGATAATGGGAGGTAATGACTATTTTCTAGGATCGTGTATTCTGGATTGATGGAGAGAATGAGGCAGTCTATGGTGCCAACAAATTTACTGGAGCTGAATTGGTCACCCTAGTAAACAACCTCAATGATGCGCAGGACATCATTGTTTATCATGAACTTGTTCAGCCTTCAGGTAACTACTACAGTTTATAGTTATAACAGCATATACTTGCATGAAGCCTGCCGTGATTGTATGTTACCAAATGGTATCCTACCCCTGTATACTATCTAATTCATTTTGGTACTTGAAGCTTTCAGCTAGCCTAGCATCCCCACTGGGTTTGAGAGAGAATCTAGTTGCAGTTTTTCTTGCTTGGACAGAGCAGATATAACCTGCAGAGATGAACAACTTACTAGAGCAACTACTGAGCAAAAAATTATGCTGTACCTCTGGAGCATGAAAGCTCACTCCTGTCAATCACTTAAAATGAACCTGTACCAACAGGCAGGAACTGGTGTGAAGAGAACATGGTAAATGGAGGCTGTAGCTACCTGTGCCTGCCTGCTCCTCAGATAAATGAACACTCTCCGAAGTATACTTGTGCATGTCCATCTGGATATGTCTTGCAGGAGGACGGTCTGAGATGTGAAGGTATGGTAACAAAATTCTTTCAGGAGTTATGGGGGAAGAATTGGGAATCAGAATGCTAAACCTGTAAGAGGCAACAATGACAGTACAGACTGACAACTTTGCATGAGTAAATCTGATGTAACTCCTCTTGGAGAGGGTGGTCTTCTAGCATGTATTAAGCTGCCCTCCAAGTCTGCAGGTACTGTTCAAAGTCCATGCCTGGCTTCTGTATCATCATCATTTGCAATAAGACCTTGTGCTTCCACAGCTTTCTGCAGACAGCAGGCATGTGCACAAAGCATATCTGGTCCCTTTGTTAGAAAACTAGGGGTATAAACTAACATTGCTGTACAGTGAATCCACTATCTTGAAATGCTTATGGGCTGATCATGCTGAGCTTGTGTACCTCCTTTCCAGTTCCATGCAAACCTGCTGCTGATAGTACACTGAGCGCTGGCTGTGTGGCAAGCTTGTTTGTCCAGCCTAGTGGCAGTAGAATCTCCAAGGTGTCTCTTAATAAACTGCATGTCAATTGACTGCTCCAGTCAAAGCAGTGAATGTGAGGACATGGTTCTCCATTGGCTGAAGGTAGTGGCTGCTGTATAGGATAACTATGAATATCAAAGGCTGTATTTGACTTTATGGAACCAAATATTATACAGGGAGCCTGAAATGAGGAGTAGGGTGGCTTATATTTTCAATTACTTCAAATAGAGCTTATGCCTGTTTAACTGGCTTACTTGGTTCATGGAATCATTTTTGATCAGTACCTTCAGTGGAAGCTGTACTTACTGAAATAACTAATGTCAGTGTTTCCAATAAAGCTAACAAGCTGCATGACCATTCTGCCATCTGCTAAACATTTGCTGCCATGGCTGTCATAGTTAAGCCATTGCAGAACTTTAGGATTAACTGGGTTCTTGATTTATAATTAGTTTCAGGTACTGGAACAACTGTGGCTTACACTGAGACTAAAGATACCAGCACAACTGAAAAATCTCCAACTGTTGGACTAGTTCCTGGAGGTACTGGTCCCAATAACTCAGATTGCTAAACAAAAGATAAGAGAAATGCAAACTGACCTATTAGCATACTTGAAATCTTCTCCTTTGCATGCAAGTAGAAAAAACAAGCTACTTCATGTATGTAGTAGAGGTACAACAGCTGGAGTATGTGATAAACAGAATTTGTTTATTTATGACTGTATGTATGGAACCTGTAGGTTCCATGAAATGCAAAAAGCGCTCAAAGAAGGGTAGCAAAAAAAATTTCTTAAGATAAGATGAAGCCTCTTAGTGCTGTTCTTGTAGAACGTTAACCTAATAATTTGGAGCAACTTTTGGGCTTAATGTCTTAGTAAGAAATCTGAAAAAATCTGCTAGCTTGTGATTAAGCAACCTCATTACTGTATGAATTCTTGTGCAGGTTTCAACATCAGTAGTGTGGTGTCTGAAGTAGCTGCAAGAGGAGCAGCAGGAGCGTGGGCTGTTCTTCCTATCTGTGAGTACCATTTGTTGAGATCCCTTTTGGTGTGATAAGCTCTTCTTGTTCACAAGTTTGACTTGATGCTACTCTGTACTTAAAATGTGTCTCTTTCTAAAGTATTGCTGGCGATGGCTGCAGTGGCTGGCTACTTCATGTGGCGTAATTGGCAGCACAAGAACATGAAAAGCATGAATTTTGATAATCCCGTCTATCTGAAAACTACAGAAGAGGATCTCACAATTGATATTGGCAGACATGGTGGTTCAGTTGGACACACCTACCCTGCAGTAAGTAAACTGATTGACATGCCTGAGGTTCCAAGCTAGTCCTCAGACTAGATGTAGCAGAGAACTGCTGATTGACTTTCAAGATGAGGCTGGATCAGGCCCTGAGCAACCTGATCTGGCTGTGTATGTCCCTGTTCATTGCAGGGCAGTTGGACTAGATGACCTTTAAAAGCCCCTTCCAACTCCAAGGATTCCATGATTCTGTAAATTGGGAGAGGTGTCTGTTTTGGAAAGCAGAGGCATACTGACTGCTCGAAACTACTGGGCTGAATCAATTGAGAGCTCATACTTGTAATCAAGATTTAAGTCATAGCTGGCAACTTCTGCTGTATTACTCAGATGGAGTAAACCAGTGCAAGTTTTTAGCCTGCAGAACTAGCACATAATTCAGACTGCCCTATAGCAAAGACTTGCATTGGTTATTATTTTTTTTTTTTTGTCCTTTATTGGTAAAATTGTAGTTAACATGCTTCTTTTCTTTTTACAGATATCTGTTGTAAGCACAGATGATGATATGCTGTGAGCACTGGATCAGTAATCACTTTCAGTTTACTTTGTGTTTTACACTTACGGGGATGATAAACATGCTTGTGGCTGAAAGACTTCCTCCGTTCTTTGGAAGAATGAAGAAACTTTCTCTGTGTATGGAACACTTACATAATTTGCTGTTTTATACAGCTTAACAACCAACTCTGTAAATACCTGTCCACAACAATTCAGCTTTTAGTGGTTACTGTTTTATCAGTAACCCTTGAATTGGTCAGTCAGTAACACCACTGGCCAAATACAAAGCACTTTCCATAGAAAGCCATATTCCAGCCACAACTTGTGCTATAGTATAACAGCTGTACATATGTGTATATGCCACTTGTAAATATTTCTGGAAAATCACTATCAAGCACTTTGAAATACTTAAAATGTAAATTATTGTACACTGTCTTTTTCAATGGTTGGGGCAATGGCAATAGGAAAAAACGGGTTACTATGATTGCCAAAAATTTGTAAGCATAAGTAATTTTGTATGTATGACTGAAACAACCTTGTCTCATACCTCTTAGAGCTCTACAGGTATGAATGCTCTTTGGGGAAACCACTGTAAATCTGAAATTCAGAGAAGGGGGAGAAAATAAAAAAAAACAAAACCAAAAACTAAGCAGTTAAAGTATTGGTCTCCATTATTCTTCTCCCACTGTAGTGGAACATATCTCCAGAGTCAGTAAGAGTGTGAAGTGCTGGCTGAAGTTATTTCAGCAGTACCTAGACTGTGAAGGGAGTACTGACCTGACAGCTGCTTGAGCAGGGGTCTGACTGTGTTGTCTTTTATAAGAGTCCAGCTGGACAACTGGAGTAGTATTTTTTTTTTTTTTTTTTTAGCTACTATCAGTCCTCAACTACACTTCAGTGCACAAGAGGTAGTACTGACAGATGCTACATGCCAGAGGTGGGTATCAAAGCAGTATCAGTCAGGTAAATGTAAATGCCTTGCATAGTACAAGCTAGCAGTGATGCGAGTTGTTAGCCCTTATTCTTGATGGCAGCTACAGTGCAGATGGCATCTTAGTGCCTGTGTTTGCATGAAGGAATGCCAGAGGTGTAGCTTCATTATTCACCATGGCAGCCTGCTCTGGGAGTCTCAGAGCCAAAAAGCCCATGTTGCTACACCTGTGAGGTAGTGTTCCCTTCCCTTCTGGAGCAAGGGCACTGTCTGATTTGGAGTAGGAGGGGAGGAACTGATCCATTGTGTGAGTGATGCTGACCCTTGTACTTTATTGGTGCTCTGCCTTCAACAGATGAAGTAGGTGGACCTGCTGAGCTTTTCCTACTTGCTTGTACCTTGGGGAATTTAACTTAAAATGCAAGCTGAGTTAACAATTCACCTTAGATTGTTAATTTATAGTATTGGCTCTGATCACCTTTACTGCTGGAGCCTTTCTCCTGGGTGAACACAACAATTAATAATCTCTACAACTGTTCTGACTCTAGAAGGTGGAATTCATCCCCCTAGTAGCTGTCTAGTGCATTCTGTTTCTGTGTTCAATTTGGTAGCACCAGATCTATTCCTTGTATACTAGTGCAATAAAGAATGACAACTGAATTACCTTGCAGCTTCTGTGGTTCAAGTACTTTGTTCTGTGATTGGAGTCAAGAAATGCAAAGATTTTGATGTTTATGCTATGACTACTTTAGTAGTCTCCAACTTATGACTAGGGAAGCCATCTTCTGCTCACTCATTTTCTTAATGCCAGATTCATTTTTTGGATCTTGGTCTTGAATTGTCACTCCCATGAACTGTGCTGTGCTTCGTTGTGGCTAAGCCTAATGCAGATGTGATAAAATAGTTAACTTCTCTCCTAGGGTGAAGAAATTATTTCTTCTTGGATAAAGGTTTGAGGATAAGACATGGTCTAGAAGAAGCTAACATTTCTTGGTCTTGCTTCAGTAATGCCTTGTTAAGAATTCTCCATCAATTATACTCTAAAATAATAAGCATAAAAATCAAGACAGGACTTGGATTAGTTCCTGGACTTGGTTCTAATGCCTGTTCTCACTGTGCTTACATTTAGGGCCTGCTCTCTTGATGCTGTTCTGTGTATGTCTTGACAGATGAGGACAGTTTCCAACTTATGCAGATTTAGGAAACTCAATATTCCTTGGGGAGTTGAAGCTTTATCAAGCTATCTCTGGCAACTCTTGTATGCCTCTAGATGTTTTCTGAATCTGGAATAACTTGTAAATAAGAGATTGCAAGGAGACCTTTGAATTTTTTTGGTTAAGAATACTCTTTATCTCAGAAACTACTCAGGAAGACAAAGTGCCTTTAATTTCAGCATAATATGTGAGAATCATTAGTTTGGCTTTGTTTCTTTGTTTGTTTTGCTTTTTTTGTTGTTTGGTTTTTCCTGTTAACTGTCTAACTCAGGATTCTATGAAGTAGGTGTGCTGAAATGTGGCAAAATCTAAAGCTGAATTGTCAGCCAGCAGCTAAATGGAAGCAAAAAGCTTTGCCTTTTTAGTCTTTGTATGGAATATGTTTAACATCACTTTTCTTGCTAAAATTCCTTGCTGTCACTGGTGTCATACCAAACACCACATGGAATAATCAATAAAGGCACTTATTCTTGATGTTGACATTCAGTGGAAATTGAAACTTAAATCCTTTTTTCAGAATCTGAAACAGAAATTGTAAGCTCTAGGAATTTATCTCCTGATTTGATTTCAGTATACTGAACAAAGTTGTCAGAACAGTGCTTAGACACACAAGTTGTTTCTATAGTCCATAGGAGGCCTAACACTTCATACCTTCCCATAGCTGGAGGGAGGAGGGAAAGGTGTATAACAGCCAGTTACATAACACGGTCTAAGAGTACATAAAATGTACTTAGTTACAGATGGTTTTTGTCTCTTTCTCTCACACAGATTTTTCTGCCCTGCCCTCTATCGTTTTTTTGTGTGTTTTGAAATTGTTTATTTCTACTGCAGGCTTGGAAAGTAGTCAGGGATTCCTTCTGTATAAACCACTCCAACTTGCATAGACAAATGCCTTACTATCTTTGAACAATTTTTTTCCCCTGCCATCTGCATGTCTTTGACTCTGTTTTATTGCTCTGTCATGTGACTCTTCTGGCACCTAATGAAGGTGGTGTAGCTGCACAGAGTACTGCCTTTGCAGCAGTCTGTGGCTGTGTTGATGGCTGCTAAATGGATTCTCAGAGCTTATCCTTGTCTGAGCTCCTCAGCTGTGGTCTCAAGGGCTCCCAGAGCAATGTGATATTAACAAGGTCTTTGGTCAGGTTTCACGGATAACTTGGCTTCCTATGGCACCTGAAGAATGTATTGCCAACAGACGCATAAATATGACTTCAGCTGGTTACTGAAGTAGTATTTAAATGGTGTAATTCTTGTTTCCTATCTGAACTCAAAGCTCTATGGTTCTGAATACTTTTTATGTTTGATGTCTGCTAACCGGTATGAGTTCAGAACTAACTTTTAGGCTTTTTTTATTTCTTTCTCTTACAAATGCTCACATTTCTTTTAGCAGTGAATCTGCTCCCATACTTTTTTTGCCTGCTATTTGATGTGCCTCTGAGCAATAATGTAAAATACCTATAATGCTAGCAAAAGCAGATGAATATAAAGGGAATTGAAGTTGCTCAGTGCTTCGCTTCTTCCTCTTCTCTGTTTCTCTAAAAATAGCTGCTATGTACCTTTTTCCAAGCCAACTTGTATTTGCTTACATTCTTAATGAAAGTACCTATCTTTCTTTTCCATCAAATCTTTGCTCAGAGAAGATACACTTATCTTCACACTTATCTGTTTTTACATGAGTGCTGAATCTTGCTAGTTTAGGGAAGATGGAAAATAGAGACAAAGGCTCAGGCATGAAGAAATGTAGTGGGAGGCCTCAGATGAAGGAAAAAAAAATCTTGCAGCTGTAGCAGCACTCTTCTTTCAATAGCCTTGGGTGCGAGTGAAGGCCTGCCAGCATGCTATGGGATGTCTGTAAAGAAATACATTCCTCTTTATCTTGCCTTGTTTGACACAAATGTATTGAAAGTGACACAAGTATTGAAAGAACAGGCTTGGAGTGATCTGCTCTATTAAAATACATTCCTGGTTTACTGTTTTTCACTTTCATTGTCTTGAAAAAAAAATCTCAGATTTCCCCCGTTCAATGAAAAAACCTTTAAGAGAGAGGCTATGAAGTCACACAGCTTGCCTGCTGCATATCTGGGCATTTGAAAATCTAAAATATAGATTGCATGTTGAGTGATACTGGTCTTGATTCTGCCTTGCACAGTCCTATTCCAGACATGCACATACCTCTAGCAAGCTATAAAAACTTGCTCTAATTTGGACCTAATCTGTGGAAAAAAATCTAAATTCCACAAACTGTGAACCGATTACAGAAATCTAAAGTTAACTAGGACACTCCCTGGTGTGTAATGAATTGCTTGAACACAGGAAACAATGGGCACAAAGTCAAATTATTTGGAAAAACTGATTTAATAGGTTATGTTTGTTTGTTGCAGACATACTGTCATGCTAAAGGGTTAATACCCAATTCAGTGGTGCAGATCCAATTGCGTGGAATGGAATTTGTGATCACTCAGGGAGTTTGGCCATGCCCAGTGAGAACTCTTACCATTATGAATTCACTGATAGCATGGAGCACCTTCATCTCACTGCGTCTTGATGGACTTGTATGCTCACCCTTAAGAATTTGGCTGTGGAGTTTTACACTCTGCTCTGCTCTCCATGTATTCCAAGCTCCTCTGGTGGTGCTAAGAAGCTAAGGTTTGTAGATCTTGTGTTGCTTACAGAACTGCCATGGAACACACTCCACGGATGTTCACTGTGTTGCACCCTGAAGGTTTCTCCGAAGCTTTTCTTCTTTTAAAAGGGGAATATCCCAATAAGCTACTTCCAGTAATAATTTCACATAATCCACCCTGAGACTATAGTCACTCGAGCTTCACAATATTTAGAAGGAATTGAGGAGGTCACAAGCAGTCTTGTTCTGAGGATTAGAGTTCAAAAGGCTCTTGGGCTGCTCACTATTTATGGGATAAGATGGTTGACTCATTGTATTTAGCAGTACACTGTTAGCAGTCCTGAGCAACCCTTGAGCATAATAGCCAGGCTGGAGAAGGAGAATGGGAGTAGGAGGGAAAACACTGTCACAACATATCTTCTGCAGAAAAATTAAGTGGTTCTCAGGTACTTTTCCCTATGTTCTCCAGACATGATTTTTGGAGTTCAAACTTCAGATTATTCATAAATGAAAATGCTTTATTATTCTGTCAGTCCATAGGTTTCAAGAACTTGGATAGGAACTTGAGAGGATTAGCTTAATGTTCTGAGCAGCAATTTCCCTCCAGTGAAAGGTATTCGTTGTTGAAAGGCCCTTTGGAAATGGTCCCTGATCACTGAATATAGAGATTGCCATAACTGCATAGAAGCAGTGTTGCTCCTGTGTGGTCCCTCTTGCAGCTGCATGCAAGTGATAAATTGTGGTTTTGTTTGGGCCACTTTTACTTCATAATTTCTTAGGTCTTTATTGTATAAAAACTAATTTGTACATTTCTATCTATCACTTACCCTTTCTAATTCAAGAAAGCCTGTAAATTTGTGCCTATGTAACAGATCATGGTT